TTCTTTTTCCCAGTTCGGTTTTCGAAAGCTTGCGCTAATGTACCGTCGCTGCTCTCTGGCACGAAGTGTTTCTTGTAAACAATGTTCTCGTAAAACCTCATTCAATTACCAACCGTGTTTATTAAACTGATAGGCTGTGAACTGTTAATTATTCTTACTTTGAATTGCCTAGTAATAAACAAAGCATTTTTGAAAGCTCGATTGAATTTTGATTAATTCTGCAATAGAAATATTTTCACGCTCTTTGTAGAGCCTATGAACATAGAGAACGTGATCAGATATAATATTGTCGGAGATTTTTTTTTAAATCAGTAAATAGCTGTTAACAATTTAAATGTTTTTTTTTTAAATGAAGTAGGAAATAGTAAGGATTAGAAAAAATATGCTAAGGATATATTAATGAATCCAGCGAAAGATGAAAATCAATACACATTTTTATTATTAACTCCAAAACCACTACATATAAATGAAGATGATTTATAACCAGTAAAAGTAAAAACATAATTCATAACTGAAAATATGTAAGTATATGAGGAATCTCGTATAAAAACACTGTTTTTTCTATTTAGACCACCTACATTTAAATGGTGCATATCATTAGCTGTACAAACAATGTCGTAAAATGACATGTAGCACTGTCAATCCTGTATTATTCGGCGTATCTCTTGTCCACATCTTCGCTTTCTGTTAACATGTATTTTGACAGATGACATAAGTTTGTGTCATATCTGGGAGCCTCATCGCGATGAAATACAATTTGAAACCAATAATAAGCTACCGTCTTACTGATAAAGCGGTTTGTAAATCAATGGAATGTTTTTTTAGCTCAAAAATAATTTATCTACCTTTGTTTAATGAGTTATGGCTTAATATTTGTGATATAATAAAAACTCGGTCACAATTACTGGCTGGAAATCCGAGATGTACTTAAAAACACATTTAGTAGTGCATTGGACCTACATATAAGCAATACCCATTTCAATTGTCTGGATATATTAAAAGTATGTGCATATCACGCAGCGGCACTCTACTTTCTATCCAAAAAACCCTAAGATTTTTTGGACATATTATGCGATCATCCAAGCATAGTCTAGAGAAACTTATTATTTTAGGCCAAATTGACCTTGAAATTGAGGGGAAGGGAACCTATGTATAATCTAAATCAATTAATAGTAATACAAAAAAAACTGCGTATGGCATCAGAAACTAATTAATTTTTATTTAATTACTAATTATTATCTAAACAACAGTAGGTACCTACTCATTATAACTAATCAGTAATCAATTACCTTAGACTTTAAACTGTCAATACTATAGGTACCTATTATGGTGACAAACCAAATGCGTATTTCGGTTAGACTCCGTATTGTTGAGAGATTGATTGATGGTAATTAGATGAGTGTTTTGGAAACAACTTAAATATATTATTTTTACTATCTGTGTTATTAATTAAGAAATTTTAGGTCAAGTGCGAGTTTTTAATTACTATTTATATACCTGTTTAGTTTTTTCAATTTTCACTTAAATATTTCTCATATCTATTATTTTAAACTATTATTTGTCTAGCGATACGATCTCAATAGAAACAGTTCTAAGTACTTGATAGTCTTTGCTTGTTTTGATCTAAGTATACTTTTACATATTATATAGACTCGATAATGATATCCGACGAAGTTTTTGCAAATTATTTAATAATTACCGGCATTATCTATACCTACTTACATCTTAGATTATTAATATAAATAATCTAAGACTTACATATAATAAAATTGTAAATAATCCGAATCTGCACATAAAATATTTTTTGGAAAATCTTATTAAAATAAACATTATTATCAATATAGAGGTCGCACGTATAATTTTTAGATTTTTTGCCTGTCTGCTGTGACCGCATCACGAAAATCCCACTAGACAGATTTTGATGAAACTTGGTATGATGACAGCTGGTAATCCCGAGAAAATATCTCATCTCTGAGCTAAACGTTAAAACGTAACTCAAATACCCTCGCTTCATTCGGGTTCGTCTCTAGTAATAGGTATATGTAATAATATTTTACATCGTTTTATTATTCTCTTGAAGAAAATTCTAATCTTTCTATATCTGTACATATAATAAAATTCTGAGTCGAATCGGCACATTACATATTTTTTTTAATCTTATCTATTATTATTAGAAATCTATACTAAACGTTAAAACATAGTAGTCGCTACTAACAGATAAACCCAACTCTACATAAGTACGTATATAAAGTAGAGACTAATAAATAAATGTGAATATGAAAGTATCTCTATGAAAGTCATCGATTTCTTTCATTCATTGTAGTGTTGAGAGCAGAACAATTTGCTCTTTATTTGCCAGTAAGGATAATAAAAAATAAAATAAATATAAAACATTTTTAAAAAAATAATAAACTAATAACGATGTTTTATGATTAAGAATATACGAAAGTAATCAATTACTTTAATATTATATTAAATTCGACACGTATTAATTCATATTCAAAACGATGACTTACCTATCGGAGCGTTTACAAGAATTTATTCGTATAATTAATTGTACGATGGTAACTCGTGGACAGATGTCAGTATGTCATAGATTCGTATTTGTCAAATGGACATTCCACACATACTTGTCCACGCAACCAAACTTTATGTAGGTAGGGCTAGCACAAAAATCATAACTTATTATATTAACAAGTGTAAGCTCATTACTTTAGCTACGTCGAGTTAATGAAAAACAATGTTAAAATCCAAAAACCTGGAAATCTTTGCAGTATTTTCCAAATATGTTCGCTGAATAACGCTGCTCTAAGGTTGTCTTAAACACGTGATGTTCTCCTGACCAATTCCGGCCACGGCGGCCAATCTCATTGAGACTAGCCAACTGCGCAGGAGATATTATTATTAGGCGTGCACAAGTGTACGCGCAGACACAAGTGCACTCTCTGTTCCTGTCACTCTCATATTCCGGTGGGGCGACGACTTGACAAGACCAGTGAGAATTAAGGCGCAGGACCAACGGCTTTACGTGCTCTCCGAGGCACAGAGGTGACACACCGCCAACTTCCCAACTCCGGGCTGTTACTGAGGCTTAATATACAGCAAGGCTCAATAACTAAACTTGGCCCGACCCGGAAGTCGAACCCAGGACCTCCGGGTGTGCAGCCGTACATGCTAGCCACTACACCACCGAGGCAGTTGTGTCTTAAACATGTAATCAAAGCATTTTACTTACTTTTAACTTTTAATATCTTTCAGATCTGGCTATGGGTCTTTAATACATAAAAAAACTCTATACTGTAACTAATTAAGAATATTAACTTGTTTTTATTTAATAATTTTGTAATTAAATTTCGCAGGAACTGTTTTCGTAACCTTGACAAGAACGTTTAAAGTTAATCGGTTTATTATCATCATAATTAATAAAACTTTCTACATAATGACAAAATTTCCATATTATATACCTTCTATATTTTTTGAAGGAATTATAAAACTCTTAAATTAAAAACTATCTTAGATACAACCCTATTACGTTACATGCTTATAATGTAGAAGCTTAAATCCATCATGCCCTGAAGTTTTAGTTATGACTCGTGCTGGTATAGATAACATCGAACAAACTCGGGTTGTAATTAGTTCACAATGTATTTAGTTTCATGTCGACTTTTTTTGGACTTACTCTACTAGGAAACTTTTACAGGTTCACAGACTCTACAAAACTATAATGGACGAGGAACATAGGCATACAATATTTCAATAGTTATACATATGTCGTAAAAGTAATTCGCGGTATCCAATGCGAGATTTTCTTCATCATAATGTCTACCTTTGTATTTTTATGTGATTAAATACTTTAAGTACTCTACTTTATATTTATTATCAATGTTATGAAACATGTAATATATGTAATTATTATATCCTCTCTGCAATTTCTTAGTACGGGAATCGGGAGATATTATTAGTGCATATTACAACATGATTATTATGTTCAAACAAATGCACTCGCTATTCTTTTATTCTTACCAAGTGATTGATACAACGTGCGTCAAAGAACATCTCCCCAATGAGAGATCACAATTGAAACTTAATAGCTTTTTGGCAGAGGCGAGACTTAAAATCAGGACTTCACGATTTGCATTGATTTAAGCTAGAAATATTATATTTTTAATATCTAACTATCTACTAACAAATTGTTTTCAAAATTTACTGACTAAAGTTCGCCTAGTGAATAATAAATGCAATTATATTTAAAAGAGAAATAGAATTGCTATAGGCGCTTGTTGTACAAAATATATTCAAATATCAAACCTAGAGTGGGTTTGATATTTTATTTTACTCGGATAATAAGATCTCTGTAAGCCAATAGACAACTGTGTAGTAAAGCCAGAGAAATAATAATAATAGTAGCATTCCATGTACACAACTGAAAGGTGCGATTTAATTAATAGCTATAAGTAAACAAAAAAAGTAGTTATTTTATAATGTTTGGAAGAATAAAATTTTCGCCATTAAAATCAATTTCGCCATTAAAAGCACCAATATTATAATTTTAGATAGATCATAATAGTAGTATTAGTCATAAGAGTATTATATAATAGTCTTAAAGTACATGTAACTATTATTTTTAAAGATGAATAAAGCTTAATTCATTCACCGGCAATCTTTCTATGTCAACACGAATTCAATTCAATTATTTTACCAGTGGCTCGTAATTTTTTTTTTCATATTTTGTCAAATTAAATGTCAGAAACCTTATTATCTCTCTTTATGTACTCTGTGGAGTGTGGACCTAGTCAAGTGACAACTGACAAGTCGTAAATTTGTAAATGACCGATGAAGTTTTCTGTTTTCGTTTCGTTACCGGTTTATAAAGTGAATTTTGAAAATAAACAATTAATGTATTAATACGTTGAAGTTAAAAGTCAACCTTATATTATATTTCCGCACATTTGTTATCATACGTCTTAGAATCTAAATAGGTGCGCTATTTCATTATAATTATGGCTGATGAAGATGGTAAGTAAACAACATAACCTTCGAAAATAATTTATTGTTTGTTAATAACTGAAATATAAGTAATATTAAAACAAGTTATATCTGGTATTCTTTAAGTACCCTCAGATAGCAGTCTTTTAGTGATCATAGTGGATACAAATCCAAATCAGAGGTATATTACAGAGGATCCAAAGATACTCACAAATTGTCTTGATGCGGTCATAGCTTTCGCTAACTCGCATTTGATGCAGAAATCTAGAAATGAATTGGCTATTATTGGATGTCATTTCCATAAAAGGTAGGATTTCACAAGTCTATAGTAAATTAGTCTTATTTTCCTATTTAGTAAATACATCTATAATATTTGTAATGAAACATTTTTGTATCTAGTTTATTAACCTATTCATTATATGTTATTTTTTAAGTGAATACCTGTACCCTTCTCCTGGAAAGCCATTGGATGTTCGGCAAATTGATGGTCAATATGAATTGTTTACATTGGTTGAAAAGACTGTTAAAATGAGGTAAGTACAATATAGTTTAAAAATAAAATTCCAGATTTTTTTGTGCTTAGTATAAAAACTAAAATTTATATATTTAATTTTAATTGTACATATATAACTTCTCAGGCTTGTAAACTTAATAAAAAGTCAACCACAAGAAGAAAGACCTGGTGAATCTCTTCTAGCTGGTGCTATGGCAATGGGACTGTGTTATATTTCTAGGGTAAGTTATAAATTGTTCCATATCTATTGTATTTTATTACATATCTTTATATGCCTAAAAAACATAAAACTAAATAATTTAGCTATATCCAAATTAATCCATACTAATATTATAAATGTGAAAGTTTGTACGGAAGGATGTTTGTTACTCTTTCACGTCAGAATGGCTAAACAGATTTGGATGAAATTTGGCACACAGATAGATTCTAGTCTGGAATAGCACAATTCACATTTTATCCCAGAAAAATTTCTGGTTCCTGAGGGATAGATTTGTTTTTGTCTATGGTCGAACCCAAAGTGAAGAGAGGGTGAATTGTTAGTTCATTTATATATATGTGTGCTGCTATAAATATACCAGTTAAAATATATTTACTTAAGGTATTATCTTAGAAAAGATATTCAATAAAACATTTTATTTAATTAGAATTTCATCTCCTTTTATAGATGCGTCGTGAAGCACCTCCTGGACTTCGCATGAGCAGTCGTATTCTCATAGTAACAGGAAGCTCTGATACTGCCGCTCAATATATTAACTATATGAATGTGTTCTTTACAGCACAGGTAAAATGAAGTACATACTTGAGTGTAAATTGGTGCATAATATAAATAGTTTGTAATAATCAGATTATGATGACCTCTTTGGTATAGAAAACTCAAGTAGTAGCTATTTTCATATAGACTTAGATTAATAAGTCTAACTTACAAAGTATAAAACACCTTAAGCTTTAAATCATACATTACTTTTATTTAAAATGATTATACATATTAATTTAAACATAAACATAAACAAACAAACATAAATTTATAATATAAACAACCATGACTGATGACCCATGACACACATGACATGTACAAACATTCATGCTCATCACACGAATGAGTGCCCCCCACCGGAACTCGAACCCGTGACCACTGGCACAGCAAGTAGGGTTACTACAAACTGATCCAAGCGTGCCATCATACTTCACGCTCAAACAATTGCAGTTAGCATGTATGGCATATCTCTATTTCAAATGTTATATGACATGAAGAAAAAATAATACTCACTAACTCACAACTTACTCATAACTGACTTTTCGCATTTAAAATTAAATAAAACTAAAAAATATTTTATTTTGTCTTTAGAAACAACAAGTACTACTAGATGTGTGCTCGCTGGACAAGCACTTGAGTTTACTACAACAAGGCTGTGACATTACTGATGGTCTCTATTTAAAAGTACCATCCTTAGAGGGACTATTACAATATTTATTGGTAAGTTATTTATTTTTATAACTTGTACAATACAATAGTTGAAGGATAAAATTATTTTAAACATAATGTATCTATACTTATTATAAAAATAAGTCCCCCGGCCGCGTCTTTCTGTCCTCCTGTCTGTCCTCCTGTCTGTCCTCCTGTCTGTCTGAACGCGATAAACTCGAAAACTACTGAACGGATTTTTATACGGTTTTCAACAATAGAAAGAGTAATTCTTGAGGAAGGTTTAGGTATATAATTTATTATGCTTTTATGTAAATTAGCTGAAATACGGCGACAAATGTTGAAGAGGTCGCAAAAAATCTCGCCAAATGGGAACTTTCCACGCGAACGCCGCGTAAACTAGCAAAGATACAGTTAAGTAATGTACTAGAGAATTCAAAATCTATAAAAATGCTACAAAAAAGTCCGCGATAGCATATCTCTATCTCTTACGGTTGACTTACAATAACCACTTTTATGTTAACATTTTTAATTAAAAACATTACGTTATTTTCAAAGTTATTTTCTTTAGTTCGGTATTAATCCTTATCCAAATGAATATTTTAGTTAGCTTAGTCATTTAATGCAGATTAAAATTGCTCTTTACACTAAATCAATCAGATGAATAGTTTTTGAGATATCGTTGTTAGAAGTAATTAGTAGCGAAACATTTTTAATGCTTGGCGAGCATTGAGATGCCTACGGCGAGTCCATCCCCTCTGCCCCGCATCGCTCGACCGCCTGCTCAAGCTATATAAACCGGGCGATGTAGCGCGCGATCCTAGGATACTTTTTACCGCGGGAAAATATCTTATTTCTGAGGAAAAATACAAAAACTGCAATGTAAGAGTATACTAATATGTAACACCTAAGAATTTAGTTTTTGGTCATCTGAACGCGGGCGGAGCCGCGGGCAATGCTAGTTAATACATAATTCTCAATTTGACCACATAGTTTAACATTAAACAAAAGAGGTTATCTGCATGTGTGTGTAATGTTTTTTTTTTGATTTAATGTATTTTTTATGCATAATTTAAAAAAAAATATTAGCATTCTGCACTCACTACACTTATAACTTATAACACTTATAAGTGTGGGAAATTTCATGCTCCTCCATCCGCGCAATTTTCGTAAAAAGGTATTAATATACAGATAAGCATACATAATATGTATAACATTATATTTACAAACCAACAGTGGGTATTCCTCCCCGAAGCCAGCGAGAGGCGTGAACTAGTCTTGCCAGGGCGTGGGCGAGTCGACTACCGCGCCGCCTGTTTCTGCCACCGCGAATTGCTCACGATAGGCTATGTGTGCTCCGTTTGTCTCAGTGGTGAGTGGAAAGGGATAGCCGTTAGAGTGATAATATCATGACAGAAGGAGTGGTGAGTCAACAGAAATAAATGCAAATATTTGTATGATGTGTATGTTTGTTACTCCTTGACCCTGATACAGTGAGACAGATTTAGATGAAATTTAATACACTAACAGATTTAGACCTTTCTTTTAAAGTTGGGAAATGCATTTAGGCATAACACCTGTATACAGGTGGTTATGTGGGACTCACCAGTTAGAAAACCAGTACTACCCACTAAAACCCAACAAAACCTCCCCCCATCTTAATGGGTCTGGATTGCCAGTTTATTGCAATTCTTAAATAGTGAATATGTGTGATTGTGATAGTGATTGCAATTCTTAAATACTATCGAAAATTAACGTTAATAAAATCAAGTATCGTTTTTTTATAATAAGTTATCCTGAAATAATATGTAGGTAGGTACTCGTTTAAAAGGTAATAATACAAAATCATAATTTAAATTTAAATTTAATAACGTGAATTTTAAGAATACGCTTTGGAATATAAAACTTTGAAGCGAATCGCTAATAAAGATAAAAAGTTACGATTCAGGACACCGGTATCGCAGGTACAACACTGAACAAAATAGCTGGCAACATTATTTGTAAATTTTACATTTGCATGTGTCAATTTAGTCGCTGAGATTGAAAAACAGACTACAAAATTTTAGAATTGTTCTTTCATTTTTATAATATTACTAGCGACTCACCCTCGCTTCGCTGGGGTCGTCCCTAGGTACGTTTTAAATTAAAATGGATATAGTATGTTATCCTTAAGAGATAGACATATACCATCGCGGACTTTTCTGTAGACCTTTAAAAGATACACAATTCCACCATACATTATTTTGTTATATCTCAAAGGGTTTAGGCTGCGTTTTCGTTGAAAGCTCCCAGACGTCTTATTTTTTCTGACACCGCCAACAAATATCGTTATATTTTAGCCAATGTATACAAAAACTTAACAAATTATATACTAAAACTTTCCTCTTGAATCACTCAATCTATTAAGAAAACCGCATCAAAACCCGTTGCGTAGTTTTAAAGATTTAAACATACATAGGGATATAGGGACAGAGAAAGTGACTTTGGTTTATACTATGTAGTGATACATACAAAAGACACGATCCGAACGAACCAAGTATAAGTTGCTAGTAAAAATATAAACTATTTTTAATGTAATGTTGTTTTTCTAACACAGTCATATTTCGATTTTAATGCAATTTTTTTTTCTTTTCAGTGTTTTGCAAGTTCAGCCCGATTTGCACGACTTGTCAGTAAGTGTGATAATACTATTATCTATACAGATAAATAAAATTGAAGTGTCAGTTTTTAATGTCAAAATAACAGCTTTTTACTAAATGCCTGTGAAATGTGAAAATTTTTGTCTGTCAGTTTGTTTGTTCCGGCTAATCTCCAAAACGGCTGGACTGATTTTGGCGAGATTTTCACTGGCAGATAGCTGATGTTATGAGAAGAAACTTAGTTTACTTTTATTTTAGAAAAAATATTAGGGCTTCTCTCAAAAAAATTATACAGTAACTGGGGACGAACCCGAGCGATACGAGCGTAAGTCCTAGTTGCTAATATAATACTTTTATTTGATTGATAAGATCTATACATTTCCAAGAAAAATGTATTAAATTGATAAGATTCGTGAGATAGTCTGGTTTTTAATTGGAATAAACAACAATGGATTATAAAAAGTAAATTATGTTATATTACCTATCTGCATCTAATTTAAAGAGATTAGAATCAAAATTGATACGTATGTAGGTACTATGAACTGATAATGGTCGTGGGCAGTAGCACGTGGGTCGTTAGCACTACCTACTGTATTTTAATAGTTAGCGGGTTTCATTCTGGCTTTGTGTATGTTTATTTTGTATTATCTATAAGTACAGATTTTAGCTCCTAGAGTGCATGACTCACGTGTATACGTAATTGTGTTTATCACTAACGTTTTATATTAATATTAAGTTATCAAACTAGTGCTTAGACATAATTTACGTACAAAGTATATATACAGATAGATAACACTTAAAAAAATATCGGCAAAATAATGTCCTAAAATGTAACGTTTCCCAGATAATTGAAGGTCGCCGCGTCGAATATGAAAATGATAACAATCATCAAAAATGAAATTATTATGTATGTCGTAATATTCTCAGCTATACAGGTGGCTTTTTGAGACGGGACAGCAAGGGCAGGTACCTTAACTGTTATAGTTATAGGAAAACTTTCCTAGGAGACCATCCATAACTTTTTGAGATATTCTGAACTGCATTCACAGATTTTGGAAAAAATGTACAGTTAGCAAAAAAATACTAAAATAGCAAAAAAAGTTTTTTATGTCAATCGTTCCTATTTCATGTAGGGATCAAAAGACTATGGGACCATTTAAGGTATGAATACTAGAAATGACAAAAATCGCTAAAAACTTTTTTCATACATTTTGTACGGAAAAACGATTAATCAACTCGAAATATTATTTGTTGCCAAACGGTCCTATTTCTTAATGTGAGGCCAAATGGAGTTTGAGTACATATATGAACTACAAATTACTACCTAAACAGCATTTTACATCGTAATAGTGTCATTCGGTATGCAGGTGTTAGATAAAACTACAATCTAGGCAGACAAATTAAACACGATTAGGTTGTGTGGTATATTAGGTTTATTAACATTTTAATAAATTATAATTTGTTTTCTTTTTCAGTACTGTATTTAAAACCGCCGGTCCTCTTCCTATTAAGCCTAAGAAGAAGAAAATGAAAATATAGCATATTATTAATTAATTAAAATCTGTATATAGCTAATTTTAACATTTACCCAATTAAGGAATACAATAAATGCTTTGAGATCCATTTTTTTATTTTCACCATCATTACTTTTCACGACACGTTTGGCTTAGTTTGTAGTACTGTGTGTTTGTAGTTTGTAGCTGCTATGCCAGCGGTCGCGGGTTAGTCCCCCTGGGGGCATTCATTTGTGTGATGAGCGCGAATGTTTGTATTTAAAGTATATATGTGTAGTGTATCAACTATCTGGTATCCATAACAAGCCTCATAGTTTACCATGGAACTAGATGGTGCTGTGTGTTAATGTCTCAACATATTTATTATACATACACGATAATGATACACAATAGACATTAAAGGGACAGACAGATGCGTATATTCCTTATCTGTGATTATTTCAATCAACATAACACTACGTTATGTTATTGTATTAACTGCCTCGGTGGTGTAGTGGCTAGCAGGTACGGCTGTACACTTGGAGGTCCTGGGTTCGAGTCCCGGGTCGGTCCAAGTTTAGTTAGTCTTTCTGTATAGTAAGTCTCAGTAACAGCCTGGAGTTGGCGGTGTTTCACCCCCGTGCCCCGGAGAGCACGTAAAGCCGTCGGTCCTGCGCCGACACTCACTGGTCGTGTCGAGCAGTCGTCCCACCGGAGTTTGAGAGTGATAGAAATAGAGAGTGCGCGTTGTATCTGCGCGTACACTTGTGCACTATAATATCTCCTGCAGTTGGCTAGTCTCAATGAGATTGGCCGCCGTAGCCAGAATCGGCTAGGAGAACATCATCATCACGTAGAAAAAGCAGTCATGAAGATTGCCGATAGAAGTGAAAACTTAAAACTATAAAGAAACAATTATTATTTTTAGATATTCAAATTAATCTTTTGATCTTTAATAAAAATTTGTAAATTAAAACTGTTTACATTTATCTGGTGTTGACATCTATCGGCACTCTTGAGTGTTAGCGTTAACACGTCACGTGACCATGTCGATGACGGCTTACACGAATTTACTCCATCCAAACCTGCCTATAGAAGTTTTCACTTCATTAAATAAATTTGCAAAATTTCGATCATTATTAAATTTAAATATGTATACTCAGAATTTAAAATTATCACTATTTTTTGATACTTATTACTTACTTCCTTATTATAGAGAGGACAAAAACAGAACCAAGGTTTGTTTTGTAGACTTTTTCTTTACACCAATCGTTAACTTACTATGCCATATATGTATCGTTACGTATATACTATATCTATCATATATTTATAATATCGTTTTTATCACAGATAATAATTATCGATAAGACGAAGATAACTCTGCTTTTATAATGCATTTGAAAAGATACCGACAACAATAATAGCATAATCATGTAAACCAATATAATATGTAAAAGTGATAAAAATCGTGATATAACATATAATTAGGTAGTTTGTTTATTTCTTTAAAGTTTAAACTTCTTGAGTATATACATTTAAGATATAGTATAGTTTTAAATTTTAATACACAAATACATACTTTACTTTTGACCCTTTTTATCCGATTGCGGCGAAGCGCAAAGGAAGGTTATACTAATATGTTTGACATGTAGGTATGTATGTCCGACATATGCTCCCTCGTAATTTCTAAACGGCGCAGCCGATTTTGATGATTCATACGTCGTTAGATTCGTCTTGATAACGCAAGTGCCATAGGGTATAGGATATTTATGTCGATCATTGAAAAATGAAAATGGCGGATTCTAGGCGGCATTCGTTTTTCCTTCTTTTTATTGAAGTTGTTTTAAATTAATCAAAATTATATTATTATTTTAAACTTTAATTGTTTTGATATGTACATAATTTTGAAGAATAATTTCACGCAGCATAAAGAATGCAGAAGTGAATGACCTTGTCTGCACTAAAATGTTCTTAAGCTCTTAAATATTTATCTTTCATAAAGTGAACAGTTACTTTATTTAAACCAGTGTTCGACACTTTACTCTCCACTTTCAATATACCTACTAACTTTTTTAAAACCACATATCCCGTTATGTCTATATGTAATCAAATCTTACAACTTTGAATTGACACACCCGGAGCTTGAGCTGAATTTTCTCGTACATGTAACTCTGTTGACAATGCAATATTACGGTGACATGGAACTAATCTGATTATGGGGTGAGAAAGTCAGGAACTCTGAGAAAACGACGTTCGACTCGTATTAACAAAGGGTGGTGAAATCTAACTACTTGTGCTGGCAAAGAGTCAAAATTTGTCGGATACTTTAAGTAAATTTCGTTACGTTAACGACCTCCATGACATGGTTATCAAACAGAATACGATAAAAAACACTAAATTAATAAAGCGAAAGCCCTTAAATTAGGATACAGGTAATAATAAAAATAAAATATTTTCACAAACGAAATATGAGAGATGTGATTTTATTGGTTAACACCTCCAGGTACATTTCTAAGAAATTAAATAAATTTCTAAAAAATCTATTGTTAATTGTAACGCCGGCGTGTCCGCGGTCGCTTAGGGATTAATTCCAATACATTGCTTAAATAAAGCTCGCCTCACAAAGTAGGTACACCAAATATGAACTAATTACTCACGTGTGGTGGTAGTAATTCTTTAGATTGTATTCAAATAACAAATGGGAATGAGATGATCTCCCGCGGTAAAATGCCTATGTCACTCTCCAGCCCTCCAACTAGCTTCACAAAGAATCACGCTAATCCGTCACTGTTTTGACGTGAAAGAAGGACAAACAAATAAACGAACAAACACTTTCCAGTTTATAATGTTAAGTATGAATTGAAAATAATTCAAGGCACAATAAAAGTCATGTGAACTTGTGAAATCAGTCTTTAATTTTTCCTTCTCGCACAAATGTATTGATTCTTAAAATAGAGTAAAATATAAAACTTATAATTATAGGTTCATCTACCGTAATATGAAGTAATTGGATTAGATTTTAGTTTTAACTGGTACGAATATAGCATGGCGTTTTGATACGTGAGATAAATTTTAGTCCTTAACCAGGTTACAGTTAAAATTAAAAAAAAAACAACTTAATACATAGTTTTAGTCACTTCATCTCCAAGGCAAGATATAAATATGACCATTTAAAAATGACATTTTTATCATTCCTACTCTTAATTACAGAGTACCTTTGCAGTTAAAAATGCACAAATACATTATATCTACGTGTATACGTTATGAATTAGGTATACGTATAAGTAGTTATATTATATTAGTACACAAGCAGGCAGAGCAATGCCATGTTTGTTTTGATAAAAATTGAAAGTTCATCCAATTTCACAAACTTAATTAAGACGGTAAGTACTTAGCTATTTATAAAACAAAATGTAATTAAAATGATAACTTATTATGATTATAATCAGATAGGTACCAGTCTGGGCAATATGTCGAAAATTTATTTAATTAGGTACCTACCAATGAAAGTAGTATCAGATATTTAAGTCAATTTTTAAATATAATATTAACATTGTTGATTGTAGAGGGACACTAAAAAACTTTTGACGATATGTATAGGTTAGATATATTATATAGGTACACATACCTATAACCTACACATTTACTAAAAAATTTCAAAGCTATTACGAAAACTGTTCCCATGATCCAATTGATGATTATTATATTATTTAACACAGATAGGCAGATAACGAAGACAAAGAAATTTATCATTGCATGACGAAGATACCTACCTACTTATTATAAATAAACCATACATTTTCATTTAACCGACCAATCTCCGTAGTTTCATCACTCTACATGACAACGACCAAGTCTATAAAAAGAAAGCTATTAGATATGTAATAGAAAAAAATAAAATACGTGGGCAAATTATTATAGAGTATCTTATGTTTTAGGCATAATAAATCTTTACATGTATTTCAGTGTTGCCTGAGTCTGATATTAAGTAAGACATACCTAATACTTTCTTAGATTTACGCGAATATTTGACATTTTAAATAAAACTGTCTTTTCACGGGAGAGTCTCTCCCATGACCATGATTGCTGTAAAGCATTCGAAACGGGAACCAAAAATCAAAATAAATCCGCGAAATAATCCGAAAAGATAGTTTTATTAGAGACGTACCTAATCGTTTTAGTTTAATTTAAGGAAAAACAGCCTGGCAACATCAAGGTGAGCAATAATATCACAATAGGATAATTTTAGATAATATAACTTGTCTAAATCTAAAGCGATAATATTGATACCTCTCATCTGCGCTAAAACGCTCTGTCGAATATTGATAAGAGCTATGTGACGTGACGTCATATTAATGTTAAAAAAATAAATTGAGATGATTACCTTTAAATATTATCTTGAAAGCATTTTTTTCATATTATATTATGTATATTCGTAAATAAATATACAATATTTTAAATTAAGACTATCTCTTCGGATTTTTTCGCGGATTTAATATGATCTTTGATTCCCGACGTTTCGAATGCTTTACAGCAATATTGGTCACGGGAGAGACTTAGGTCATTATATGGTTGCATAACAACTGACAATAAATTCGGGAAATTTTTTTAATAGGTAGTTTTATTAAAAATGGCAAATACGTATACCTAAGAAAAAAACATACAGTAGTAATCTGTTTTTGTTTAAGTTGGACATACTGCCTTAATAACAGATTTAATATTTTTAGATGACAAATTGGGCAAATAAAATAAAAATTAAAAGGACGAAAAACATATGAAAGTATAAAAATAGTCAATTCTAACTAATTACAACTAATATAAATTTATATATTTGTTTTGGTATTTAGATAATGTTGTTTTATAAAATCTCATATAATATGGAATCCATGTCACAAATTATAAAAGGTATACGCGACTTCACCTGGATACTTCACATGTCGTGTCAAGTTGTCGTCCCAACAGTGACGGGAATATATAGTGCACATAGTGTTTGCTATACCTAACTAGTGCACTATAATATTTTCTGCTGTTTAAATTAGTCGCATTGCCAATAAAATTCGCCACCAAGGCCGAAATCTAGTTAGGCTAAATTAATTATTATAAAAGTTCATACCTTTCATTACTAGGTTTGTTTTTCTCATTCGACCGATTCATATGTGTCCTGATTGCTTACTCCCAAAATAATATGTATTTAAAATATCCACATAATTATAAAGAGACACTCAAAAACAACAAAAAATGTCAATAAGTAATGAGTTACCTATTAAAATTAGAATAAGAACTAACACTTGAACTAACTTACAAAAGTTCAGTAAATATTCTTAGACGAAACACAATTGATTATTTTAAACACTCCACTTTATCAATAATTTCGAATGCACTGTCTATTTCTTCTTCGGGAGATTTCAACTCGGTACTTTGACTTCTTTGCAAATTTGACATCGGCTTAGTTTCGATCATCGTTTGTTTTTGATTTGAATGAAATTCCGTATTCTTAGATTTTTCAGTCATTTGGATTTCCTGAAATTAAAGGATATTATCTATACAGATCAAAAAAATAGAAATGTCTGTTTGTAATGTCAAAATAACAGCATTTTACTAAATACATAAAGAATTATATACAGCACTTATAAGAAAAAGACAATTTTTAAATTTTTTGTCTCTCTGTCTGTTTGTCCCAGCAAATCTCCGAAACGGCTGGACAAATTTTGAAAAGACACTGGCAGATGGCTGATGTTATAAGGAGTAACTTAGGCTACTTTTATTTTACAAAAAAATCAGGGTTCGGCGCAAAAAAATTAAGCTCCATAAAATTGTGAACAAAATCTGTGTATCTGGGGACGCACCAAAGCGAAGCGAGGTTAAGTCGCTAGTTTATGATATATCTACCGTGTGTTTCATTAAGCCAAAAAGGTTTTCATATAACAGAGTAGGTACTATTAAAACTTGAACTAGGGCCCGCTCCCTTCCCCCCCCCCCCCCAACGTGCGTTCACCTTGTCGTGGTGGGGGGCTCAGTAGTGCCCGGCAACCCAACCGGGCGCGAAGCCAAGAAACGCACAGGGAGGTGGCCCACTTCGGTGGGCGGTGGGAGGTGGCTCTCTTCGGAGGGCGGTGTACCATGCGGGTTGCTCCTGGTACTTCTCTGATAGCAGAGTGGACACTGGAGCAACCCCGTGGTTGTTGTGATCTGCTTCGGCAGACCTGCCGTCGGGGCGTCGTAGTTGAATGCGTAAGCGATCCTGCGACGCCCCATTAAGACGGGGGAAGGCTTTGTTGGGTTTTAGTGGGTAGTACTGGCTTTGCCGGTGAGTCCCACACCTCGTGCGTAAATGCATTTCCCAACGTTAAAAAAAAAGGTACTATTAAAAAAGGATACCTATGTAAATAGGTACGTGTGTATGCTATATACATATACTGTATATGTACCTATATGTAGAAAATAAAAGAAAATATACTTATAAAGCTAGGTAAAAAAATCTAAATGAATTCATCATATATAGGTACTATAATTTACGGCTATAACGGAACTTTTTAAAAACGTAAACGATTTTTTTTAATTCATAGGAAAATAAATAAATTTCAAATTTAAAGTTGCAATATTGTTCCTTGCAGCTGCAAATTTGTCGTTAAGAGTTATGGCCGACTTACGTAGAGGTTAAAATCGAAATAAATCATGCCTATAATCCCATATAAAGATAAGAAAGTATTAAGTTAACACAAATTATAATCATGATTTGTCGTTTCATTATTAGTGACCGATTGACGTAAAACTACCTATTACTTACAAGTTGGTGCTTACGAACTATCACAGGTCACAGGTTCTATTATAAGTGTAGGCAATGTTACCTTACATACTTATATTTACTCGTCACTTGCCTCACTTCCCTCACGATCTCCTAAAGGTGTAGGTATACATACATGTTTGTATGTTTGTTACTTACTCTCTCACGATAAATTGGCTGGATGGATTTGATTTGAATGAAGTTTAGTACACAGACTAAAACTAGAGTCATATACAGAAAGACAGTTTATAATATTAGTAAAGACGATATTAATTTACATTTTACAGAATACCATTACTTACTTCATTATACAATTCCAAAGACAACGAGTTACGCTTTCTATTTGCCTGTCTCATTCTACCAGATCTTGAAATTGACAGTTTTCTTCTCCCATCCATAGGAGGTACAACATTATTTCTATCCTCCTCTCCCTCCTCATACCGCGACTTACGTCTTTCGCTCGTATGGAAAATAGACTTTATAAGCTTCGCCATATTGTAAATACAGTATTTACCTATTATGTATATATAATGATCGTTATCGAGTCATAATTATCTAAAACAACATTATTAATGCGTTAGTTTTTTACAGTACTTTGATTATTATTTAATCTTTCACTAAGAACCGGTTTAAGTGCGAATTGTTAACTAAACAATGTGTAAGTACTTGAAAGTGCTTGAAGGCAAAACAAACATTTGATTAGTTCAAGCCATACACTTTGATATGATATTTTGTACTAAAACTTGGACAGTTTCAGTTTTCAGGCTCAGTTTGTATTGACCCTACTTGCAATGCCAGCGGTTGCGGGTTTCGAGTCCCACTGGGGGCATTCATTTGTGTGATGAGCACGAATATTTGTTCTCCAGTCATGGGTGTTTATATTTATAATATGTATGTATTTAAAGTTATATATGTGTAGTGTATCTACTAAGATCCATAACACAAGCCTCATAGTTTACCATGGAACTAAATGGCGCTGTGTGTTAATGTCCCAACATATTTATTTATTTATAAGTAATGCACGTAACTAAATTAGGTACCTACAGTGAAACCACTAGAAAAGACTTAATGGTTAGTGTCTGATAAATTCTTTTTTTATTACTTAAATCACTTTATCGACTTATATAACGAACAAAGTTACAGAAAACAATATAAAATATTAAAATCTCAAATTAAATTACAATACAAACTAAACATTCACTTACCTAATTAAAATTATATATTTTAACAGTCACTGAACCTCTTTTAAGACAGTCACTATTAGAAAACACCTATGTTAAAAAACTTCGTCTAATTGCTCCCACTTAATAAGCTTGTTTAAATGCAATCTTTTCGCTACCGATAAGACGCGCGAACATATGTGCAAATTGTTTTACACTGCATCTCTATTTACCGTCAGTGATAAGATATACTTATCAATGATAAAAGCTTTTATGATAATGATTTAGATTATCAATTTAAGGTTAATGATACTGTTTAATTCTGTTAAAAGTGCAAATGTTCCGGAAATAACACTGTCTAGAACTCTTTAAGAGTCTAGACGTTATAAAAAGAAATTATGAGCGAAATATAGATCTTTTTGTTAGTCTTTTTTTTTCTGAAAATGAAGGCCAAGTGCAAACCAAAATTTTAATTTCAATTATTACAAATTTTCAATACATTTAAAAGCGTGTACGTAAAATGTTATGTTTTAGTAAACTCATAAAAAGTCAATCGTTTCTTCATTATCATATGCAGCACAAATTTTGAACTGAAATTTAAAAGTTGTTACTCGAGTAATATACTTATTCAAATTAATAAAAGAGGAACGCGTCAACATCAGGTAGAATAGGTATTACGTAAAACAGTAAAAAGACCCAAACTAATTATGGTCTTCCACCTATTTCGAAATCGGTTAAATATAGAATTTCAGCCTCGTTAATTTTCATTTCATTTGTTATATATTTTATATAGAAAATCGCCATCAATGTATATGCAGTGCAAAGTTATAAACAAAAGGCAGTAAATTCGTAAAATAATCGAGATTTAAGCAGACATTACCACCATACTACCTTTAACATTACCCTTTTATTAGTTAATCTGTTAATAGAAATCGGTAACAAATTTAAATATAAATCAGTATTACTATTGAAATTTATATAAATTTTATATCTATTACTAGCAGCTTACCCTTGCTTCGCTCTATCCCACGAGATCCCATCAAAACAAATTTATCCCACGAGAACCGGGATAAAAAGTAATTTATGTACTACTCCAGACTATAATCTATCTCTGTGCCAAATTTCATCCAGATCCGTTCAGCCGTTCAGGCGTGATTAACAAAAACCCATCCAAACAAACTTTCACAATTATAATATTAGTATAGATTTCTTGTTTCAAAATTTATTTTTTCTGGACATTTTCAATTTTTATAAAACTAAAAGAACATACATAAATATATACACCCGAACGGGGGTACAAAAAAATCACACTTTTTAAAACATCAATATAATATAATAAATAACAACACAGGCCCGTATTTAAATATTTATAATCTTAAACTGTACAAATAATAGAAACACAATTAGGTAATAGTTTATAGAACTTACTGGTCTAAATACCACCAAAGGTTTAAAAATCTAGCAACACTAATATAACCTATCCAAAAAAACATTACAAATATTTTTAATAAATCTTTATTTCCAATTACTCTAAACTAAAAGATCAGTAGTAGTTCATTAAAAAGCAAAGTAAGAATTGTTAAAATGTAGTTTTTACATCTAAATCAGTACAAAAATAACATTATATTCATACAAGTCCCATTTTTAGTCTACTTATGTTCTAATAGCCATGGATATAGTAAATTTAGAATTACAGTAATTTTCACAACTGTATATTATGCCTTTTGACAAGAGAGTTACATAATATCACGGATATATATGTCTATTTATATCCATATAGCTATGACAAGAAATATAAAAATTACTTTTCAAAACAACGTAGACATGTAATATTGGACGGACAGACATCCAATTTATATAAAAAAAATATTATACTTTACGACAGATATAATATTTATTATTTAAAATATCTAACCGATAGGCATTTTACAAAAGATCTTATATCTATATAATACTCTATTTAATAAACTATTGTTTTTATTTTTTAAGTTATACTTCTTATGAAAAATGAATGATGAGAGTAAATTTTTTAGGATTCGACAGATTTAGACTACAGTATGAAGTTAGTAGTTATTGGCTACAGTGTGAAGTTATTAGTTAAATCTCCCTTTACTAGAGTTTGAAGGCACACGGGTTTGGTTCTCGTGACAATGCACGATTACCTAAATGCCCCATTTTTAATCCAATATGGCGGACTTTACAAAATAGCGATTCATCATTTCCACAGTGACCCTTATGTTAAGGGCATCAAATGAAAGGGCTTGATGAGTGAAACAAAATAATTAAAGTGACGTCATTGTAAATCCAATATGGCGGACTGTTTTTTATGCACCTCCATGGATATCAAATGAAAGGGTTTGCTGAGAAGAATACGAAAAAAAGTAAACAACATATTAAAATAAGTTTAAACATTTAAAAAACAAATTATATTTAAATGCTCTAAAAAAAACAAAAAGTATAACTTCTGTGCATACATAAATACATACACTTGTTTCTTTTTTATAAATATTATGACTGGTTTTCATACATAAAAACGGGGCATGCTACTTACACAGATATTTACAAAATCCTTTTACAGATAATTACAAAATATATATTTTTATTTTGTTGTTATTTTATTTAGTGTTTTTACAGCGTATATAATATATATACATATATTATATATAATATATAGTAGAAGATATTCAGTGTGACTGTTATGCTAATCTTTTTTTGTAGAATTACACTAACACCTTAAAATATAATGTTTAGTGTAGTATATAAACAAATTAATAAGTGCTTACTGTCATGGCAATATATCGATCAACTTATTTAAATAAATAAGTAAATTATATTACAAATTTCGTACGTACAATTCTCTGTTCGTTTATATGTGTATTTCCAAGCGTAGTTTAGAACAAAGAAAACTATAGAAACACACAATTTATGTGATAAAAGTATACTATACTTGTAAAAATTTCTTAGTCATAATATCAACTGAAATTTTTAAGGGAAAGTGGATCGCGAAATCTGAGACTAATAGAGAAAAATATTGGAGTCACGAGGCCGTTTTTGATGAAAACTAAAGCTGTATTAAATTTTTCGAACAAAAAATAGTAATTGAGCTTGTTTTTTATTTGATAATTATCTTAACATGTAATTATTATATAATTTAATTTAAAATTATTGTATATCGAAAAAATTACAAAATTATTGATAAATAATGCTCAAGAATGATAAGTTAAAAAAAACAAATATAATTCAAAGAATTATTTCTAAGCATATATGATAAAACTATATAGTACCTATATTATCTTCATTAAAACAATAACCTCCCCTTATTTCAAGTCGGTTAAAACATGTACCAACGATCATTTTCAGGTACAAACATTTTAACTGCCACTATTCCACTTTATATATAAATAAAAAAAAGTAGCTTTAAATATAATATTTGTCTAAATGTATAGACTTTGTCCATTCATATATGCTTTCACGGCATGTGTACTACGTTTTATGTGTTTAGGGGTAATGAAACAGTTTAATTTTAGTATTTACAATAAAATATATATTACAATAAAGTATACAAGGTCATTTGCAATTATAAATTCATATCTCAAATTATAAGGCAAGAATGTTATGGCAGTTAGAAAATTATGTTGTAACAAATAATTTTAATTTATAGATAAATGCTTTATTAATTCAAAATTTAAAATATTAATATTCATGAGGTATTAAAAATATCGAGAGCATAAATTAACATATTTTTTGATATGTAAATTACCCCAGCAAATAACTAAATCCCATATACACAACTAATCATCTATATCTAAAAGTTGCCAAAATAAATTATAATTGCCATTACAAAATATTGTCACTATAAATATACTCAAATATTTATAAAATTGATCTTATAGCGTTTAAATAAAAAAAACAGTCGTTTGTTTTATCACATGCCCTATGTATTACAAGTACTCGTTGTCATTTACAACAGAAATCGATATAAAATCGATTATATTACTTGCTCGGAATCGTTGTTACTCGATGTTGTGTCAGTATTATTCGGGTTCATTGAACTTCTGTACAGTTTTAGATTAGACTCTGTGTAGTCTAGAATTATTCTGCTCGAATGCCTGATGTAAAGCATTTGTTTGTGATATATTTTCAGGGCGCCTTTAATTGTGATATATGTGAGACCGCCCAAAATGGTTCTGTGGAGGTTATTTTTTACTGATCGAAAGAATATTTTTCCAATGATTGTAGAAATTGTCGGTAGAAGTAATGCGGAGCAGAAAATTCTTGTGGGTGATAAATGTGCATGCCTGTTGTTAGTATTGTTGTTTTGTTGGCCGGAAACGATGGCCCCTCTGTCACCCTCCACACTGGAAATAAAGATTTTTTTTTAAATGCATAATAATTATTAACCCATTCAATAACCCAAGACGTTTGAAAATTATCATAGTTTTTAAAATATAAAATATAACTAAAAAAATGATTAATTAAAATTATTACATTTTTAAAATACATTAGAGATAAAGTCATCGATCAATAAAATACTAGATACACAATCAGCGACAAAAAATGTCGTCACCGAATGAGCGCTCATTTGAATATTTGAGCGCGCTTTTAATTTAAATTTCTTTTTCTGAAAACAACTTTAAACATTTAAGGTCCAATTTACATTGTTGTATATTTATTTCAACTAGAATAATTACCTAAACACAATTGGTGACAGTTTTAAGATAACTTTTGCATAGGATTGTGTATCTACAAGAAAGTACTAGATACTATCTAGTACTTTCTTGATCGATGGATGAAGTGATAGAGATAGTATAATAGTGACGTCCCTCTCATTTATTGCATTTACTTATATAAATATTAATTTCATAAACTTAATAATTCAAAGAAACTTTTATTCGATGACTTATTGTATAATACAAGTACTAGTTGTTTGTGCAAGTTCTCGATACACAAAAACGTGGGGAGAAGTGGTTGTTTTCTTTGATTGTTCCATTGTTTCGAGACTTATTGTTAGACATAACCATGATTATTTGTTAGAGGCCTAACGTATTTTTGTGTATTTTAAAGTCACTTAAAAAATATTTATTTGACGACACGTTTGGCTCAGTTTGTAATGACCCTACTTGCTGTGCCAGCGGTCGCGGGTTTGAGTCCCGCTGGGGGCATTCATTTGTGTGATGAATACGAATGTTTGTACTCCAGTCATGGGTGTTTATGTTTATAATATGTATGTATTTAAAGTTATATATGTGTAGTGTATCAACTATCTGGTATCCATAACACAGGCCTCGTAGCTTACCATGGAACTAGATGGTGCTGTGTGTGTAAGTCCCAACGTGTCCCAACATATAGCAAACTTAAGATGATTTTTCATTTTATCTTTATATAATTATACATATTTATAAATAAAATTATTTGTCTGTGATTTCAAAATAATTTGATCTTTTAAAGTGAGCGAGAGATTTTTTAGTGATGCAGATGATTGGAGGGTTCGGTTAAAAGTAAGGAACAGGAGCATGTGTCAGTGAGATATGGGATAGAATTTTTACGAGCTATTTGCACTTTGTAGTTAGAACCAAAGCGAAGTTAAAGCGGATCACCAATAAACAAAAAAACGATAATAACTTACTACGAAAACGAAAATTCAAAATACTATTTTAAAATGTCAATCAGTTAAAATATATACATGTATGTATAAACATAATAAACATTTATTGATAAAACTGTTAATTATTTACACATAATATGTTAATAAACAATATCTTGATCTAAATCTTTTCATATTCTTAAATTCTAACACATCTAAATCCTAAAAGAAAAATCATTTTGTGCACAACTGCTTTATGAGTATGAGTTCGTCCCATATATCTAATAAACTGTTGTAAAAAAATACTAACCTCCCAAACGGCAATATATAGGAGAGGGCAGGTATTTTCGCGCAGTACTTCCTCAGGAAGAGGAGTACTGAGTCCTCCCAATTGTACATCTTTGCGCTGATGAGTGTCACCGGTATCGTTGGAAGTAAAACCAGTAAGACCAACGGGTCGGCTGACTCCATCATTTCTAAACCTTCTCTGTGCCCGACAACCTAGCAAATAATTAAAATAATAAACTTTATTTAGGTTCCAGTAACTATTTTTATGTCACTTTGTTGTGCCTATGGCCTGAACCCTCTTACATTGTAGGAGACCTTGCCAACAAAGGGACGTTAAAAAAGGGCTAAATTATTAATATTATCGATTTAGATTGATTGTAGAGCCATTCTTCTATACATATAATAAAATTGTAAGTAAGCCGAACCTGTATATTAAATATTTTTTGGAAAATCTTATTAAAATAAACATTATTATCGATACAGAGGTCAAATCTATAGTTTTTAGAATTTTTGTCTGTCTGTCTGTCTATTGGCATTTGGCAAGAACTTTACATATTTTATTTTACAGGGTACAAATTAACTTTTGATAAAAAGCCCAAAAACACTGCATAAGCGTTGTTTTACACACAGGTCATGCACATAACCAATAAATTGGACCTAATTGCTTGAGATAAGATTATAAACAGCTGCTATAAAATACAATGTTTTAGCGGCTATCGTACTATTTAGATAATAAATTTCTAATTAGCTTATTGAAAGTTGGTCCTTAAGAATCATATTGTATAAATCCATACTAACATTATTAACATGAAAAAACCGTATTTTCATATAAATCGCGAATTTCATATTATGTAAGGACTAACAATATGTGGTGGGTCCTTTCCCGGCTTCATAAAAATCTGTTCAGCGGTTAAAATGTGAAAAGATGTCTGTTTGTTATCTTTTAAATAAAAAAGCAAAACGAAAAAATAATCAAAGTATCCATTGTTATTTATGCACTTTCGCAATTTTATAGGTAGTTCATTGATTCCTTTGCTGAAAAAATTGTGGGACCGAGAATTGGATATTTCTCCTTGCAAGAAATTGTCCGAAAAGTGGTAATCTGTTAGAGCAAGGTCCAGGGAGTATGGTGGGTGTCGAAGACATACTCAGGATTTCCAAAACGAAAACGTTGAATCCAAAAACGTACCGTGTTTTCTTTTACAGTAGCTTCCCCATAAACCTCAATAAACCTTCAAGCTGTTTCTGCAGCGGTGATGCCACGGTAGAAGTCGTATTCGTAAATAACGTGATATTTTAAATTTTCCATATTGTGAGCAGAACGATGTCAAAGAAAAATCAAATGGCGCGAAAATAAATGAATTACTAACTTCGAAACACAAAAACACAGCTTAAATCTATACATATAATAAAATTGTAACTAAGTTCAATCTGTACATTAAATATTTTTTGAAAAATCTAATTGAAATACACATTATTATCGATAGTCCGAATCTATAGTTTTTAGAATTTTTGTCTGTCTGTCTGTCTGTTACCGCATCACTAGAAAACCACTGGACAGATTTTGATGAAATTTTGTATGATGATAGCTGGTTATCCATCAACATGTAGTATTTTTACTTCTAGGACTTTTTACCGCGGGAAAATATCCCATTTCTGAGAAAAAATACAAAAACTGCAATGTAAGAGTATACTAATATGTAAAACCTAAGAGTTTGCTTTTTGGTCATCTGAACGCGGGTGGAGCCGCGGGCAAAGCTAGTCTATACTAATATTATAAGAAGGTAAAGTTTGTGAGTTCGTGACGTTGTAGGGAGTAATCTCTGGATCTACTGAAGAGATTTAGATGAAATTTGGTATGAAATTTAGATGAATTTTGAAACCTTGAGTCGCTAGTGTTTAAATAGTTTAGTAATCGCTAGTTATTTTAATAAATAAAATAAAGCCGTTTATTATACATTTTTGCTGTTTGCAAAGTTGCTTGGTAACTTTCCCATTTTGTCAACAAACAAAAAATTAAAAAACTATTGTATATATGTGTTTTTTTTGCCCTTTCTCGCCAATAGTAAGATTATGAAATACAATGAATTATTGCTTATCTTTCCTATCCCTTTTATAGCTCATGATATCTTTAAAAGAGTTCAGATAACATCTCGCAGATTAATGAGGTGATTGATAAATCTGTATAATCTGTACATTATAAATGTGAAAGTTTGTGAGTATGGACGTTTGTTACTCTGTCACGCCAGAACGGCTGAACGGATCTGAATGAAATTTGGCACAGAGATAGATTATAATCTGGAATAACACATAAGCTACTTTTTATCCCAGAAAAGTATACGGTTCCCGTGAGACAGATTTGTTTTTGTTTTTTATATATCGATTATGATGAAATTAAAATAACTTATGTTAATTTCGATACATGTTTTCTGATTTATGGACTCAAATACTAAATTCATTAGTCCTTTCTTCAAAGCTGCAAAAAAATTAGGCCAACAATTATAATTATTGTATGGTTTATTTTTTACTCTCTAGATACTAAATACATAAAAACACGGTCTATGCTAAGTGCTAAATGTTTATTCACGACACTTCCCGTTATAAGCCAGATATGAACAGTCACAGATTCAATATTGAGTTTATTTTCTTTTGTCAGGATATTCAAAAACAGATGTATCATTTCCACAAGCGAGAGATTATAAAAGTACAGTAAGTAAATATTACCAATAAAAGTACGCTAGCTATCTAGAAATTGGCTTTTATATTTTGATAACATGAAATTTTAATTTTAATGAATATTTTTATAATTTCAAAGTTCATGAACTTTCCAGTAATCACGTAAATCGGCGATCATATAAATCAGGAAGTTACTGCGACTACTCACTAAACTAAATGCCAGATAAATAAACTTTCTCAGTTTTTTTCTGCAATTGTGATTATCACCAATCATACCATTAAATCTATGGAGTTTGTCTATTTTCCTACACTATCTAATCCCTAATTTTGGACGTATTGTGGAAAAAGATTGGTATAGGAAAAAGACATTGTTTAAGCAAAAAACAAACACTTTGTACGATACGGGCATTTCGTACGTCTTACTATTTATTATAGCCATAACAAATCGCATTCATTCGTACATAATATTAGTCTACTATTCAGCTAAACAAAAATTAAAGATGTCCTTGAGTTTAACATAAAAATAAAATCTGGCTCGTGTACTAAATATTTTAACTAGCGACTCATCATCGCTTCGCTCAGGTTCGTCCCTATCTTGATTCCCCATACAAACTTTCATCCCCATTTTCACCCCCTTAAGGGATAATTTCCGGGATAAAAAATATTCTATGTAAATATGTGTGGGTGTCAAACTATCGTCTTACAAAATTTCATCTAAATCGGTTCAGTAGATCCATAGATTACCCCCCACAACGTCACAAACTCGTAATTCACAAACTCACAAACATTGCCTTTTTATAATATTAGTATAGATACGGTATATCGATTATAGGTACAGGCTTATTTGAGTTAAAGTTAAATTATTGTCCGACACGCATTGCCGGAATAAAACTAATATCAATCGAGGGCATGGTCTGGTCTGGTATCAGAATAATACATAGGCTACTTTTTATCTTGGAAAATGTACGGTTCCCGTGAGATACATTTCTTTTTGTTTTTCTAGAGCAAACGTGATCGAAACGAGAACAATAAATGGTAAAAACTTTATAAAAATAAACTTTAAAGCAAGTGTAAATTAAATGTACATTTTATCAAGTCATTGCAAAAAAAAATAAAAAATAGACGATATTAATAATGATTAAATAATAATAATAAAATAATAATAATTAAAGTATGTTAATAATCTACAGCCTAATCTACTTAAGGAGACTTAACCTATCTTATTAAATCTTATAAATAGTTGTTAAAAATTTAGAAAATATTTAATACTAGCATTGCCCGCGGCTCCGCCCGCGTTCAGATGACCAAAAACTAAATTCTTAGGTGTTACATATTAGTATACTCTTACATTGCAGTTTTTGTATTTTTCCTCAGAAATAAGATATTTTCCCGCGGTAAAAAGTATCCTAGGATCGCGCGCTACATCGCCCGGTTTATATAGCTTGAGCAGGCGGTCGAGCGATGCGGGCAGAGGGGATGGACTCGCCGTAGGCATCTCAATGCTCGCCAAGCATTAAAAATGTTTCGCTACTAATTACTTCTAACAACGATATCTCAAAAACTATTCATCTGATTGATTTAGTGTAAAGAGCAATTTTAATCTGCATTAAATGACTAAGCTAACTAAAATATTCATTTGGATAAGGATTAATACCGAACTAAAGAAAATAACTTTGAAAATAACGTAATGTTTTTAATTAAAAATGTTAACATAAAAGTGGTTATTGTAAGTCAACCGTAAGAGATAGAGATATGCTATCGCGGACTTTTTTGTAGCATTTTTATAGATTTTGAATTCTCTAGTACATTACTTAACTGTATCTTTGCTAGTTTACGCGGCGTTCGCGTGGAAAGTTCCCATTTGGCGAGATTTTTTGCGACCTCTTCAACATTTGTCGCCGTATTTCAGCTAATTTACATAAAAGCATAATAAATTATATACCTAAACCTTCCTCAAGAATTACTCTTTCTATTGTTGAAAACCGTATAAAAATCCGTTCAGTAGTTTTCGAGTTTATCGCGTACAGACAGACAGGAGGACAGAAAGACGCGGCCGGGGGACTTATTTTTATAATAAGTATAGATGATGAGTGTATGATGTCTCTTTGTTATGCGATATTTTGACAAAAAACCATCTTTATATACCACCTTTTTAGGTTTACCGTCTTTTTAGGATTTTATATCTAAACTTTAGTCCAAGAATCACCTATATATGTCAATAAAAAAATTACAGCCTCAGATACTTAGACCATATTGATAACATTATGATAGTCCTACAGGCACTGACAGCGCTTTGGCGCTGTGAGGTGAGCTTGAGCAGACAGCTCCCTAAACAAGTCGACTTTCTAGTTTTTACAATCAACATTTAAAATAGAAAACAGAAAGAGATATCAAAACGTAAAATATAACGCTCTAGGCATGCTATTTACATATATTTTTATTTTTGTTTTATATTAGAAGGAACCGCTGTAAATTATATCTGTTCTAAGCTCGGAGCTTAGACACCTTTTAAGGCTATGAAAGAAAGACAGATATCGTAAGGAACTTTTTAAGACGTACGATCTTAAACAAAAATATAATATTACCTGCATTACAGTTACTGCTCCATATGTGATTGCTATCCAGTAAATCGAGCCCAGTAAAACCCCACCCGCTATGAAAGGGCTAACTTTATGTGTGATCTCCTCCAAAGCGTCCAATAGCGCTACAAAGGCTCCCATTGAAGGAAACACCAGTATGTATTCGGCTTTACACTGAGGGCAGAGCACTTTTCGGCTTATGTTTCCACGTTGTTTCTCATCGACCCATCGTTGAAGGCAGCTTTGATGGACCTGAAACACAAATGTTATGAATTGTAACGAAAACCTACAAATGATTCCAATTTTTTAGTGGATTTTATTATTTTGTTAATTGTTGTTTAAACTATAAAAACAAAAATTTCTTATACGAATGAAACCTAAAAATGCCGATTGATGGACCTAATATTAGTTGGCTTGGTAGTAATAAATTTAATTATTCTCTATATGTTAGTACCAGTATAGGTGAATACTTATTATTCATAATTACTTGATTTCATTTATAGCAAAAAAAAACAGTAACATGTAAAACAATAGGTATTTCTTCGTGACCTGGTGAAATTATATTAATTACATGTGTACTGTGTAGTTAAAACACATATCTATGTCGCCACGTGACATATCTATATATGTATATAAAACAAAGTCAGGTTTGTTACAACACCTATAACTCGAGAACTGCTGGACCAATTTTTATTATTTTTGTTTTGTTAGATTTGTCTTCACTCCGAATAGCAGAAAAACTATTAAAACATCGGAAAAAATCACGAATTTTTTTTTTGAAAAAAAAGCTATTCCTTACTAAGCGACAAAACGTACCTAAGGACGAACCTGAGCTAAGCGAGGGTGTGTCGCTACTTATAACTAATTTGAATAAGTCACTAATCTTCGTGATTACCTTCAATATTGATGGGACCAAAAGCTACATATGTATATTTTCCAATTTACTGAAATAATATATGTATTTAAATTTTCATTTCAAATAGGTACTATAATCCATCCAGCAGATCTCGAGTACAGTGCGACTGAACAGGAAAACAGTAATTACCTTTGACGGCGTTTATTAAGTCTTTAATAATAATTGATGGAACAACAGACTTAGATTGCGTTAGCATTAAATTCAACGCTAGATATCACTTATAATAATATCACAAATAGTGTTATAGCTAGAATAATACAATCCTCGACTGATGAGGTAGGAAAAGAATAAGGGAAAACGCTAGACGTTCTCGGAAAGCGTAAAGCGATGTTTTTGTAATCGATGTCAACAAGAGGATGCTGAGAAAAATCACTGGTGTGATAAATCTCTAACTTACAAACGTCTGATGATTTCGCTGTTGCACTTGGCAGTTGGCATGCGTGTCACTGTCTAGAACTCTCCGGGACTGTAATGTCTCAACGACCGATAGTAATTCGCCTATCGCTAACGACATCGATAAGGCTGAATGACTAGCGGTCAATCTTGAAAGTCAGCGCCTGTACCATACCCACATTATAACCTAGTGCATTTGCTCAAGGTCATATCAAAAGTAGGACATAAAGTTTACCATCATCCAACCTCTTGAATCGATTATATGTGGAAAAAGTTAACGGTTGCCTTTAACGGTCTATATTCTACATATACAGTTATCTACGCCTTGTCAGTCGCCAAGTGATTAAGAGCAGCGTCAACTGGCGCAGGAGGACGAGGTCAAGCTATGGGGAATTATAGCCATTGTTTTATCCAGAACAACACTTTATAAATCTGGTTACATAGGTTTAAAAGTTTCGAGACCAATTTGATCCACTTTCAAGTTTTATCCACTAATTTAAGAGGAATTTAAAATTTGTCAGATCACACCTTACGTGTGTGCATACATTTTCAATACGGCAGATGGCTGTTGCTCTTGCTATTTGTCCTGTCCGATAATCGGATGAATAAAAAATATATTATTCGTCCGACTAATGTCGATTTGTATGAATATCGACCACGTTTTTTATTTCTTAAAGTAAAATAAGTGATTTTTAGGTGCAGGAGTTTGTATATGAAAAAAAACCTTCACCTACAGAAAATTATTCTTTTAATCCCAACGATTTTTAGGTTCAATTCAAGAGTTTTTATGTGTAAAAAAAGAAAAGCGCTCTAACCTACGCGGCTAAAAATATATTTTCTTAGGAGAAATTACTGGGTCATAATAAAATAAAATAAATCGAACCTATCGGGTATATATATATTTTTAATTTTGGTCTATTCGATTTTATTCCAAACCTAAAATTTTAATTATCGATATTTTAAAAAATCTATTTAACTTGATAAGTTAGATTTCTTTTTAATACAAACATAAAAATAGTCACAGTCGCAATATATTACACACCAACAATAGTATGACGAACAAAATAATTTTTTATTCACCTTATTATTGGATGAATATACACTACCTTTCAATATAAAAAACCAATTAAGATATGTGATAGAATTTGCATCATGCCAAAAGTCTCTATTTCTTCTACAAACTGCAGAGCATGATTAAACTTGTATACCTATATAATTATATACACAAAAGTGTTCTCTGTGTATTTCATTATGCACTCTAAATGTAAGTCTAGTTATGTTCATTATAAATTTCATTGCTAATATTTTCAACTTTGATAAATTGATATGATATCAGGTCCAGGAAGGTATAAGAATGCATTGATCTCAATGGCTGACCGCATATAAGAAAGTAAACATAATATTGATAATACTATCAGAAAATTTATTTATGGCTATTTGTTAGAAGATATACTTAAATAATGACGCAAATATTGTATATCAATTCTAAATGCTCCTATTAATGTATATTTTAAATTAAAAATGATGTAAAAAGTGTTGGCATAGTAAATCTTCTATCTCTACATATATCTTTATAAATTATAGCTTTATATGTTACTCTGATGTACCTATATGCTATACCTAGTTCTGTAAAATTTCATTAAAATCTGTTTAGTAGTTTTTGCGAGACAGAGTAACAAACATCCATCCATCCATCCATCCTCACAAACTTCCGCAATGTTTATAATAATTAGTAAGAAATATTGAATGGAGTTTTAATTTGATTGTTATTCCAAATTGATTAGTTACTGTTCCACATTAAAGGAACATTCATTTCACATATTTTTTTGGTACTTTGAAATAATGAACAATAATTTGTACATGACTGATATAAAGCTGTATTGTAATCATGGAAATTACTTATGTTAATATTTCTGATTAATATACAAAAACATACTCAATGTATTGCTATAGTTATAAAATGAATAAATCCAATATGAACAAGTTTCCTGATGTTGTTAATGTCATATTTAACACAATGAAATTATAAATATATAATGCCTATACTAATAAATCTGTGATTTTTTTTTTGAAATTTATCAATAATTGACTGAGAAATTAATTTAAATTTCGACCATTCAGGTCGTGTGAAATCACGAAATTATTCTTACAAGCGCAACTTGTTTCATAACTATTTCTTTTGTTGAGATATTTCATTAAATCTTTCATATTTTTGTTATATTTTGCTAAAATGTTTATACTAACTAAAAATAGGAAACTTCTCCATTACTGATAAACAGATATAATATTAATTGAAGTAACATAGAAAATTCATTACGTTTAGTAAATATAAAGCAACACAACATACTCAGTGCTCATTGTTTTTCCTGTCTATAAATTTTAATTTAGCTGTAATTAATTCGATTATCTTATTTTTTGTAAGCTAACTATGATAAAAAAAACATATTTTGCAACAAAGAAGATATATAATTTTTACATTATCATAATTATTGGATAATAGGTTTTTTGTCTTTTGCCATAATATTTATGTCCTTATGAATGTTATAAACTTATACATATAAATGTATGCACTAACCAAAAATAATATTTTATTCAATTTAAATTTGCAATCTTTATTATATTGCAATAAATAGAACACTTTCACAATGTCTCATGTATATTTATTTTTTCTTTACAAACATAGTAATCCATTTCTACATTGAAGAGTAAAAAAATCTATAAATACATTTTTGCATTAATAAAGCAAAAAACATATAAAAAACTACATATTATTTATATAAATAATTAATATATAAATAATACATTTGTAGGCGGCAAAATACACATGAGAAACCAATGTGATGACTACTTGCAAATATTTATAACAATTTATTAATATTATCTTTTAAATTTATATTGATGATTAAGTATCTAGTATAAGAAGTATCTGTTTATAAACAAACAATCATAACAAACTATATTTTCTAAGAACAAAATAGTAAAAAATAAAAGTATGTACTAATAGTGAATTGTAAAGCATAACAATTTAACTATTTAATTTAAATATATATAAAAAAAATGCAGGGTTGTCAATATATTTAAACTTTATTAGTTAATGAGCATAAATTTTAACTAAAGAATAGCTCTAATATTGACTATCACAATAAATATACATTAAAATGGTGGCTTACGAAGGTAGCACTTACCCATTTCGTTGTACCAATACATTTGCAAGGTTGAACCCAGGCAGCTAGTCTATCATCCGCTTCCGTGGCAAAGCATACCCAACAAGACTTAACAGTATCATCCTCTGCAGATTGCAATGCCTGATAATCCATTTCATTTGAATCTTGTTGTTTAAAAATTGTAGTGTCTTCATCAGTCATTGTAATGTAGATAGAAACTAAATTTCACAACGCACGCTACACACAATCAATGTGGCCGAGTAAACAAAATAAAAAATTAAACTACAAAAAATCAAGAAAGAGTATTTTAGAAGACTCTCGTTATGTGTATGACTTTTACATTCGGTGTGTAATGTGTTAGTTTTTGTCACTCAACTCTCGAAAGACGACAACACGACTTTCCTATCCCCACATACGTTGCCATCATGGATGGTTGCCATTACGGTTGACATCTAATCTATATGTATGTCAAATTTTACGTCAAACTTCAAAGCTAAGGAGGATATCCTCCATAGTCAAACAAAACTGGTCAAAACCATAAAGCTAGGATGCGTACTGCGTAGCATCTCTTTAAAGTTTGTGGCTAGGACCTAGGTACGTATGTCAAAACTGAAAACCATATGGCTGGATAAACATAAAAGGCGATACAGGGCGTTAAATTTAAAATATATGAGAAGTACTTACTCGTTGCTAAAATTTCATATTTTAGCAATTAAAATTATATTATATTCAATTTATATGTTGGGTTTTCTGTCTGTCTCTGTTGTGTGTCAGCATAATTTTTACTTGAACTATTTTATTATTACATATTTGATATTTGTAAGGATTAAGTGTAATCTCATTTATTTATTTCTATGTATTATGTTAATAATTATTAAGCCCTTAGACGTTGATGTTATTAGCAGTCATAAGATATAATTAATTTTATTAATAAGTTATATTTTAAAAAAACGTGTAAGCATTCGATCTCTAAATTACTGATACTGCTCTTTTAGAAATAAATATTAAAACTTTGGTTTTCAAATGTTTTCCAAGTCCACTCGAGTTATTTCACCTCTCTTTTAAACAGTATGTCCTTTTAAGCATTCTCGATGACAATAATTAAGGCGATATGTACAAATTATGAGATATGTAGTGCACTATTTAGACCAAACGTGTGGGCCGATTTTGATAAATGACACGTCGTTTGATTCGATAGGATAGAGCATAAAAATTAAATTAGAAAAAATCAAAATGGATTTTGGGCACCATAATGTGAAAAAGAAAAAATGAAAATCGACGAACTATGTCAAGTAGGGTATCGTTTAATAGGTATTTAAAAATCATTTATAGGTTTCTTTCATCATTTTTCATTTTACCGCTTCAACGGTCGCGAACATGCCGGCATGGCAGTTAACAATTGACTTCCCGGAAACTAACCACGGAGGCGTTAAATGTCATCTATAATATAAAAATAATAATAGCTTCAATTTTTAAACAATTTCGGGACTAGTATTTCAGACTAAGATGTAGCTCTGTCTCCTTGATTAAATGACACATGTGCGTAGCATGCAAGGATTTTATATATTCCTTAAACAGGATTGTGTACTCACCAATAAAAACGAGCAGAGAGGAGAGGTTGAGGTTATCGGTTAGCATTTGTACTCTTTCCTAGTAGGGTAACCATAAATATTTTTTTGTTAGGAAAATTCTAGGCAAAGCCTTTATCTAGTAAACTACAGTAAAAGTGATAACTTCTTATATTGAAGTAATTACTTCTTATGGGAGGGTAAACACGTCGGTCGTACGTCTTGAAATAGTCCCCGCGAACGCCAAATATAAAAAGAAGGCTCGTTTGGCTTCATAGTCACCATGCGTAATTAACTGAGCCCAATAAAAGAATAAAACTACAAACTTAACTCATGGCCTACTTTCCACTGGTCCTGGATTGTTTCGTTTATATTCCTCTTCCTAGGTAATATCTAATATTCTCGGTATAAAAAAATAGCCTTCCTTCTTTCAGAGATTTCCGTTTATATTTCCTCTTCTTACGGTTAATATTCTAAATTTCGATATAAAAAATATTTACTCCAACCACACTTTCTATTCCCTCTCCCCATTTAATAATAACGTCCACCATAATTTAAAAACTCAGTGCTTGTCATCATAATAAAAGTAAAATTACTGAATCGTATTAACATCACGCGTAACTCAAAAAACACTATAGTGGACTTCCCAAAGTCCACGCGAAATTGCCGGTTTTCTGTCATTGGCGCAGGGTTGTCGACATTTTTTTTTTTATAATCGTCTGTTTCAACAGTTCTCACATTTTTATTGAAAGTACTTTTATTTCGGGTACTAGTAGTACCATCTATTATGTTAAAACAATTATAGTTTCGTTGTGACTCCTTTTTATTAATCAACAAAAATTTAACAACATAATACATATAAAATTAGTTAAAGTAGTAAAATTTTAAGAACACAATGTGTTCTTGTCGCGAATAAATAATGGTTTATTTGATTAATATGCAAAACAGTGTTTCGCGGTTTTGTTTGAAAGGAACATTGTTAGACAATCATTATTAGGGTACACTTCACATTGTTAAGCATATGAAGTTCCGTCCACCTTGTGTTATTACGTTAATGATACAATACATTAATTAACCATTGTACACAAAGCCTATAATGTAACCCTGATACTGTATCTACCTATCTATTAAAATATTAAGTATTTATTGTTTCATTAAGTGTTAATTAATATATTGTATGGTGAGGTATATGTAATAGTATAATATCAGCTGTCGTCCTCGGGTGAGGGCGCTCAGCTGGCCGCGCGGGTGGTGGGTCATCTGGACAGCCAAACCGGCGCGGACGTGAAAGGACCTTAGTGCCGTACACGATATATAATCTATATCTATAAATCTATTTGAATATACTATCTATCTAAGTTACTAATAAATAAGTATTGATTTAGATGAATGATTAAGTGGCACATTACAAGTGGCGACGATAGGATAAACTGATAAGTTTTTTCTTATTTAAACTTAAGAAAAAAAAAGAGGAAATAATAGGCAAGACAATTTTAACTTTCCCTGCAAATTTAGAGTTTGAAACATAATTTATATCAGAAATATGAATGCTTAAGATGTGGATAATAAACCAATGAAAAATCACGGAGCTAGATATCACATTAAATCATTCCGCAATGAAGTTAAAAAAAACCTAATTGTTTACTACTAATTATTTTTATATTTATATGTTGTATTATTACGTGAATAGACAAGTTTGAAATGTGAAGTGTGATGTAGGATCAGTTTCCATCAGGTGGGAGAGGATGGAAACGGCGGCCTATACTATTTATATTTGTGGCGGGCGTGGTATTAGATATCGGATTTAAAGATAACGAGCTAGAGTTTATTGCAATTTTATTGGGATGACAGGAATCTACAAGAAATCTTTTATTAGCTATTCCGGGGGCTAATGTTATGGAGGGTGATTTAATCAGCATAGCTAGACAAACGTTTAGACGAGTCTTTTTGCTCCAAAGCAAAGCAAACATATATCGATCGTCAATTTGTTTTAGACAATTATAAACCAGTCGCCTGTTAGGCGAAAAATTTGAGAAATTTCTTGTTAAGACCTAAGGCATCAAGCTTCTAAATGTCAATTTGCGAATCAGGACATGAACAAATTCATAAATCAAATAGGTTGAAAAATGTAAAGTCCCAGAAAGAGATTTGAGGAAGAAAATTTTAAAGGCTGCGGGATTAAAATTACTTTAGATGAAATAGTTTTACAGAAGCTAATATACTGGAAAGCCTTAAAGCAGAAAATTAGAAAATTTTGCGACAACAACGGTTGATACTCCCTCGATTACAGAATTAGCGAACAGGAAGACCTGGGATGAGTAAAACATTTTAAGCGAACATTTGGAACAATGGTGGGAGGTGTGGTAGTAACAAGACATTTTGCACTGCGATTAAAAAGCTGTCCTGCAAGAATGAAGGCTTGTTTAAAATGTGGAATAATAGGGCATTTTAAATTACAATGTTTCTAACGGCGAGAGACTCAGAAATGAGGAAACCAAGAAGGACGATAAAAAGTAAATACAATCAGAAAATAAGAGGTTTAGGAGTTTTAACAACACTTAAACAACAAGCCGATAACAAATTCTGACAGGACAAAAATATTGACCTATATTTTTTAATGTGGGAAAATTATATACAAAATTAAATGTAGCATTGGTGGAGGTAAAAGTGAATATGGCTCGTAGACTCTGGTTGTAAAATATAACTTAATTACACAAGCAAACATGGGATGCCATGAAAACGCGATTAAAGCTCAAGTGACAAACCGTAATCGGAACCCCAACAAAAACCTTCCGGGTGGCTGTACGGGACATGCACAATTCCCCCTAAACGGTTATCGGATCCTTTAAGTCCGACATCAAGCTTTTTTAAAAGCAGCCGAAACACGACATTCTACGTGATATAGAAATGGACCCGGAATTTACTCGGAACGTCTCACAGCGACGGGTTTAGGAGTGCCTTCAAATTTAATATTGACCAAATTTAATGTAATAAAGCATTTTCCGAATATCTAAAGATGTGTGGTGGTTATACCTATAGATGAGTCGGTTCATCCGATAGTACAAACCTTATTGCCGTATTCCAATTCCCGCTGGAAGAAAAAAGTTACTGTCTAAAACTTATCGCTTTTGTGCCTACGCAAAGACATAATCGGATGAAGAAGGTCAAGGGCCCGTCTATTTGGGTTTCACCAATAGTTCCGTCTGTGTGAAATGAGAACGGCTGATGTCCGTGTATGCGATTGACATATGATGCGGGCCTAATACAGTTAATTCAACGGGAAAAAAACCATCCATTGCCGACTATGGATCCAGTTCTGCCAAAAAATCGAAAGAATGCCTAAATTATTTTACCAAAATTAGACATTCCAAGATGTCTTTCCACCATATATAGCTCCCACCCAGGACTCGAGATACATTAACTACATTTATTACTAATAGAGAGACTCTTCTAGAATTAAAAGGATGATGTTCGTAGAATCACATGTGGCGCCAGAAAATTTTTCCAAAAAAACACTATAAGGAATCTTTTAGGATGCGAGGGAAGTAATCAAATTTTCATTAGATGACATTTTTTAATATTTGAGAATAATTTTAAAAAAACAACACGATGAACGATTAAAAAAAGGTAATG